TTTCAACGCGAAAATGGCGATGATATCAAACAATGGTAAACGTATGTATTAATTTCGTGTTAATAAACAGACTTTTCAAAACATTTTTGGGTATGTAGTTAAGGCGTATTTATTTCACAAAGTACGACAAATTTTATATACAGTTCATTTTGTAGGAATTACATTCAACGAAATATCTGAGTCTTCTCGCACAGAGCATAAATGTGATCCGATTTTAAGTAAAATATTAAAAGTTGACATTTTAGCTTAAGTCGAAATGCTTCATACAGGATTTCACTGAAAGAGATAGAAGTTTGAATAAAATATAAAAACAGAAATTAAGATTTCAACTGGTAACAAATACGAAATGAATCAATATTTTAAAAATGTTACAATAAACAAAAAGCGAGTCTTTTGAGAGCAATGGCTCTAAACATTTCCACATTAAATCAGTTGTTTATTAGAATAGTTACTTTAGGATGTGACAAATACTCCCGTGTAAATAGTAGCTAGAGTAAATAAATTTGAATTACACAGGCTGGATACATAACTGTGCTCATTCATGTAGAGTTTTGCAAAGTATATTTATTTAATACTATAAAGTATTATTAGGCCACAAAAGTATGACGGGCTACGATGCTACTTGTAAACAGAAATGAATATATAAGACTTCATTTTTAGCCAACTTAAGTGTTCTATATCAGTACATAAACTGAAAGAGGTAAATTTGCAATTATATTAGTCTTTAGTGTGGTTTTATATGTATGGCAATCTTCATGAGGTATAATGTAAAGATTTAAAGTATTCTAGCGTAATTCGATGATTCAAAACAATTTTGCTTATATGTGACTTACATGGTAAGAAATATTCCTATATGTTCCTATATTAATGCAGTTTTATGTTCATAATTGGAAAACGAGGCGTTTTTCATTAACTTAGTTTTTCAATACCCTTTGAATTCTTCAAGGTCAGATAAAACAAAAAAGAAATTTACAATATTCTCCAGTACTTATATTTGTTATATATTACATTCTGTGATTGCTGAAAAAAAGTTTCATTATAAAATTCTCACCTTAAGCCTCAGTTTTGTATTCAAAAGTTTCTACTTTTTCCGAAACAGGCTTCGTGAGTTCCAATTCATTGTTACCTATTACACAATAATGATAATAAAAATAATGATATAGATACATAGAATATAAAGTTTATTAATGGTAAACTAACAAGTATCATGATTTTCAATAACAGCAAAACATTCATTAAACTAATTGATTAAGAGGAGAAATGAAGAATTTTTGAAATATATGTAATCTATTTGTGTAACTTGTTTATTATATAACAAGATGAATATAATATTTTAATATGCATACCAGTAGATCCTGATCCTTTACGTCCCCATATTCCTCCACTTCCTGCGGGTAAGCATGTTGCTTTAGGCACGCATTTGTAATGACATTTAACAGGATTGCAGTGTTTCAAGGAGCAAATATATAGACAATTTGGGAGAGTATGGAATTGTTGAGATGAATGTCCTTCACCATAACTGATGCCACTTCCAAGACTGTGGAACCCTCCTCCAAGTCCACCACCTTGTCCAAGTCCTCCTCCATGTCCACCACCTTGTCCAAATCCTCCTCCATGTCCACCACCTTGTCCAAGTCCTCCTCCATGTCCACCACCTTGTCCAAGTCCTCCTCTATGTCCACCACCTTGTCCAAGTCCTCCTCCATGTCCACCACCTTGTCCAATTCCTCCTCCAAGTCCACCACCTTGTCCAAATCCTCCTCCTAGTCCACCACCTTGTCCACTTCCCCCACTATGTCCAAGTCCTCCTCCACTACCTTGTCCAAGTCCTCCTCCATGTCCACCACCTTGTCCAAGTCCTCCTCCATGTCCACCACCTTGTCCAAGTCCACCCCCAAGTCCACTTCCCCCACTATGCCCGGCTCCTCCTCCAAGTCCACTTCCCCCACCATGCCCAGCTGCTCCTCCAAGACCACTTCCTTGTCCAAGTCCGCCTCCACTTCCCCCACCATGTCCGGCTCCTACTCCTATCCCACCACTATGCCCGCCTCCAAGTCCACCTCCACTTCCTTGTCCAAATCCGCCACCACTTCCTCCACCATGGCCAGCTCCTACTCCTAGCCCACCACTATGCCCACCTCCAAGTCCACCTCCACTTCCTTGTCCAAGTCCGCCACCACTTCCTCCACCATGCCCGGCTCCTACTCCTAGCCCACCACTATGCCCGCCTCCAAGTCCACCTCCACTTCCTTGTCCAAGCCCGCCACCACTTCCTCCACCATGCCCGGCTCCTACTCCTAGCAAACCACTATGCCCGCCTCCAAGTCCACCTCCACTTCCTTGTCCAAGCCCGCCACCACTTCCTCCACCATGCCCAGCTCCCACTCCTAGCCCACCATTATGCCCGCTTCCAAGTCCACCTCCACTTCCTTGTCCAAGTCCGCCTCCGCTTCCCCCACCGTGCCCACCTCCTA